ACTAACATCGCACATCATAAAAATTTTTGAGAGAGTGCTAAGAAGTAAGATCACAAAATACATGGAATCACAGCATCTCCATAACCCCGGACAACATGGTTTCAGAACAGGGCGCTCTTGCCTGTCGCAGTTGCTGGACCACTATGATATGGCATTAGATGCTATGGAAGACAAACAAAACGCTGATGTAATTTACACAGATTTCGCAAAAGCTTTTGATAAATGTGACCATGGTGTTATTGCACATAAAATGCGTTCAAAAGGAATTACCGGGAAAATAGGCAGATGGATCTACAATTTCCTGACTGACAGAACCCAATGTGTAATAGTCAACAAAATAAAATCCAGCCCATCAACAGTGAAGAGCTCAGTCCCCCAGGGTACTGTGCTTGCTCCAGTACTTTTTCTCATCCTCATATCGGACATAGACCAGAACACAACCTATAGCACTGTATCATCCTTTGCAGATGACACTAGGATTTTCATGAGAGTTGGCAACATAGAGGACACGGCAAACCTCCAATCAGATGTAGATCAGGTCTTTCTATGGGCTACAGAAAATAATATGGTATTCAACGAGGATAAGTTTCAGCTCATGCGCTACGGAAAAATTGAAAATATAAAAACAGAAACCACGTACAAAACGCAGGCAAGTCATAACATAGAACGAAAAGGCAATGTAAAGGACCTGGGTGTACTCATGTCGGAAGACCTTACCTTTAAAGAACACAATAAAGTAGCCGTCACAACTGCAAGAAAAATGACAGGTTGGATAACAAGAACTTTTCACACTAGAGATGCTATACCGATGATGATACTTTTCAAAACGCTTGTGCTCTCTAGAGTGGAGTACTGCTGCACAATGACAGCCCCTTTCAAAGCTGGAGAAATTGCTGACCTAGAGAGCGTGCAGAGATCCTTTACTGCTAGAATCCACTCAGTAAAACATCTAAATTACTGGGACCGACTAAAGAGCCTAAATCTGTACTCCCTTGAGCGCAGGCGGGAGAGATACATAATAATTTACACGTGGAAAATAATTGAGGGGCTGGTCCCAAACCTGCACACAGAAATAACACCACATGAGACCAGAAGACATGGCAGGATGTGCAGAATACCCCCGTTGAAAAGCAGAGGTGCAACAGGTACTCTGAGAGAGAACTCTATCAACATCAGAGGCCCGAGACTGTTCAACACGCTTCCACTACACATAAGGGGCATAACTGGCAAACCCCTCACAGTGTTCAAGAGAGAACTGGATAAGCACCTCCAAAGGATACCTGATCAACCAGGCTGTGACTCATACGTCAGGCTGCGAGCAGCCGCGTCTAACAGCCTGGTTGATCAGTCCAGCAACCAGGAGGCCTGGTCGACGACCGGGCCGCGGGGACACTAAGCCCCGGAAGCACCTCAAGGTAGCCTCAAGGTAGGTATCTAGTAAACACTTCCTTACTTCCCCACTGGTAATCTCAAACTCTTCCAGTGGTTCCTGGTTAGCTATTCCCTCACTTACCTCTGGAATTTCTCCTTGCTCTAAGGTGAAGACCTCCTGGAATTTCTTATTCAATTCCTCACACACTTCCTTGTCATTTGTAGTGAATCCTTCCGCCCCTATCCTTAATCTCATAACCTGTTCCTTTACTGTTGTTTTTCTCCTAATGTGGCTATGCAACAATTTAGGCTGAGTCTTTGCCTTGCTTGCGATGTCATTTTCGTATTGTCTTTCTGCCTCTCTTCTCATCCTGACATATTCATTCCTGGCATTCTGGTATCTTTCTCTGCTCTCCAGTGTCCTGTTATTCCTATAGTTTCTCCATGCCCTTTTACTTTGCTGCTTAGCTAGCCTACATCTCTGATTAAACCATGGGTTTCTCATCTTCATTTCTCTGTTTTCCTTTTGGACTGGGACAAACTTGTTTGCTGCGTCCTTGCAGTGTGTGTGTGTGTGTGTGTGTGTGTGTGTGTGTGTGTGTGTGTGTGTGTGTGGGGCCTCGGCCGGTGGGGTATGTATAGCGTGCTTGTAGGGTAGACCATCTCGGCTCCATCATTCCAGCCGCTGGAATGGTAATGTGAGGATATTTATTTTACGTAATATATATTTCTTCTCTTGCTGGCCGTTTGTCGAACAAAATGTTTATGCAAAATATTATTTCTGTAAAAGTAATTTCTAACTTTATATGAAGTTGCATTTTCATATCTTGCTTTTTTTCCATTACAGTTTGTTTGACATAGAATTTGTTGTTCACCTGCTAGATATGTTGATTTTTGTTTTATATTTGTTGTACCAAAGTTGCTCTTTCATGTGCTTGACCCGGAAACAAAATATTTGTGTTTTTTCAACAGTTTGATTACTAATAAAACTAAAAATTTCACGTATAGAATGGTTTTTATCCCATATATTCCGTACTAATCTCCCTTCACGAGAACTGCGCAGTTTGCCAATACTGATTCTTTGCTGATCCCTGTGTAATGAGACCAACAAGGGGGGGAGGGAGGGTAGAACTAGCCTAAGCTACTCTATCCCTTTGAGATGTATTTCTTTCTTGTCTCAATAAACATACTTGAACTTGAGAGACCAACGAAGATCATCACAATTTGTAATGGGTCACAATGTCACCATTGTAACGTCCTTTTAGGTAAACACTGCTGCTACCTCTAGTAGCATCCTTACTCTGGCCAGCAACGCTGTTACCACTTAGTGAGGTCGGTTCAATTGCCTTCCCAATTGCACCTTAATTATTATCCTTAAACAGCTGATCATGTACCACTTGGAACAGCTGAAAGGCCCACACTAGCAGTGAGAAACGCTAACTGGCCTGTATCATGGGATGTTGGAGAACAGAGTAAACATTTAACTTTCAGTTATTATGAAAGCAAAGGATAATTAAATCAAATCAGTGATTGATGTTAATTGCTGCCACCACTTCTCAATTGTGATGATAATTATAGTAATTGACTACCCTGACTCCGAGGTTAAAAGTCAGGAGCATAGCCTTACTTTTGATAATTAGACATTAATTATGGTTATTAATTATGAATTCTTGTTCGTAATTACAGGGGTTAATTGTGATTGCTATAGTCACTCAGGGAATCACAAACTCCAAAACACAAGCCAGCTCCAAATATTATACTCAAAAACTTAATATAAAGAAAACAAAACTGAAGATGCCAATTTAAATTAAACAATTTATTAAGAACAATTAAGGACATCCTATTCTAATTAAACATGCTTTCAAAGAGGCCAATGGTTGTGAAATACCAATCAACACTCAACTTGAGCACAGTACCTATGATCTGCAACTTAATCCTTGGCCCAAGATGGGGCCAAACTCATCCCCAAGTGGGGGTAAGATCGGCACCCCTCCACACAAAGTCCAGCGCCACACTAATTCTTAAAACTCCAATACCACCGCTGTCATTTGAGAAGTACGAAGTCTTGTGCTCGGTCCCTCCCAGCGAGCATAAGAAATATTGCCGGAACAACCGTGGACGTCTTCAAGAGGAAGCTAGATTGTTTCCTGCAAGGATTACCGGACCAACCGGGCTGTGGTGGATATGTGGGCCTGCGGGCCGCTCCAAGCAACAGCCTAGTGGACGAAACTCACAAATCGAGCCTGGCCTCGGGCTGGGCTTGGGGAGTAGAACTCCAGAACCCCATCAACCAGGTACATGCGAATATCTCGCGGCCAAGGCACCGCCAAGCAACAGTGAACTTACCTCTAACCATCTCAATAGGGAAGACGACGCCTCCAAGCCAGACAGAACACCCTAAGTGAAACGGGACATCACCACATCGCCTCACCACTAACCTCCTGCCGCTTAAGAAGAACTCAAGCTACAGGCTTTGACCGAAAAAAAACTCCAATCCGCGGTGGAAAGGCCACCGAACTTTCAAGCCTCCTCTCTCCACATCCAGATCTTTCAAGAATTTCACCGCCCCATCCTTCTTCCTCCCACATCCTCTCCAAGCTCCTTGGACATCGAAGCTCAAAGCAGTCTCTCCAAAGTTGATCCCTTGGCTCGCCCCTTAAGACACTATGCCTTCTGTATCTCCACCCCTCCCCCCAAGGGCACCTTCTAGCCTCTAGCGAAGCTAGGCCTAGTCTCTGGGCACCCACTTGACCAATCACTCGCCGCTAGGCCTACAGGTGGGGGGGGGGGAGGGGCAAGGCACTCGAGGACCAACCATGCCTAAGGTTAGATAGTTTGTGCGTGTTGTGTTTCTCCAAACGTTATGCCGTCTATTATTTCTGCACATGTTGCTTGATCCCTCCGGCTTGTTTGGGTTGGTATTGGGTTTAAGCCTATCGATAACGAAATAAAGTTCACCACAATAGCTTAATGAGCAAGTAGCAAGTACTTGTACATAGTTGAGGACTGAAAGTACAAAGCTCTGTGTATGTACACCGAGGAATAGGAACATCTTGGTGTACACATCTTGAAGTATCCCACACATACTGAAGCTGGTGGAAGTTGTCAGTTCCCAAGATGGTTGTACACAGGAGACTGTTCAATTTAGTCATATTTTTTTTTGTATTGAATTCGGAATAGCTACATTTACATTTTATATACTTAAATATGTTAAGTCAAGTGCAGTACATGTGTTTTTGTGTTTATATACGCTAGATATATTTGAATATTCTAAAAATCATGATAAATTTTTTTTTTAGTTAGCCTAACGTTTTTTTTTCTCTCCCTGTGCAGGTTGTGTGGGCCAGTGATGACGTGGTGTGACACCTGGTGACGACGGCTGGTCATGTGGCTGCTGTAGCCCTCTCTGGCACCTGTCACCCCTCTCTGGCACCTGTCACCCCTCTCTGGCACCTGTCACCCCTCTCTGGCACCTGTCACCCTCACACCTGTTCCCCCCACACACGTGTTGCCCCACTCTCCCTCACAACACACTTGTTCCTCTTCCCTCGCCAACACCACCTTCACTACCTCGGTCCAAATTAGTTTTCTAATCCTCTAGATAACGAAAATATTGGTTGATTTACCCTTCCACCCTCCATGTGAGTGCTGGCTACAGTGGTGAGGACATAAGACGTCAACCAGGATTATCATCCCTCCTGTCTAATACCGTCTGCAGTTCTACCACGCGGCGGCACTCTCTACCACCACCACACTACCACCACAACCACCACACTACCATCACTACCACCACAATGTTCCGCACGTCGAGGCTCCGGGTGCACACGTGCAAGATCGTGCTGGTGACGTCGTTGGTGTGGTTCGTGATGGACGTGGCGGTGATCATGTACTACAGCGACTGCTCGACGGGGTCCGGCTGGGGGTGTGGGCGAGCGGAGGCCGTGTCTGTGGGGGACGGCCGCACCGACCACCACAAGGGCCGCGCCATCAGGAACCACCACTCTGAGAATGAAGACGTCGATCTCTCCGTAAGTCTCTCCCTCTTTGCTCTACAGGTTTGACTTTATCCCGCACATTTGATGGTGCTACATAGCCTTCCCGGTTTGGTGCCTTCTATTGATAATTACTTACTGCTCTGCAGGTCATTGTGTGGAGCAGACATTAGTTACTAGAGTAGGTATCTATACTAAGACGTTTAGAACATGTTGCTGTTCAGTTTTAGTGCTCTTAGAAGAAAACGTGAAGTAGCTAAATTCTAACACAACTTAAAGCCATTCCGCGTGACTAACTAGCCTTTGATGGTTGGTTTAACTGTCATTTAAGGAAGTTATTACCTGAGCGTGGGCGTCGTTAGGTTGCCAGGCGTCATTTCACGTTGCTAGGCATCACGTATTGACTTGACTGCAGCAGGAGACCTTAAAAGTCAAGTTATCCCGTGACCCGGCTCCCAGCGCCGCCTCGCGTGCAGGCGCTGACGGCGGTGGCGGCGACCCCTCACTTACGGGACTTACGGGCCAGTCTCCCGTCTCGCAGTGAAAGACATTTTTCTTCCTGAATATCCACGAGTGATGAATTCCGGAGAATCCATTACCCGCAGCAGTTTGGGCCGGGCCCTTTTGGAAAGTTTGGCGATATTTTATTCCCAAGACTTAATCAACCCGTTTACCCAAAAAAGTCGCAGGAAAGATTATGAATTTTGAGAGAAAGATCTGATTAATTGAGATGAGGAGGATGACAGTGGTGGGGTTTGGACCCGGGGGGCATTGAGGCGACGACGGAGGAGCAAGGAACGAAGGGGAAAAATGAGACGAACCTTCCATCTCCACGAAATCTGATGAATTTTCGCAGGTGAGATTGAGTGCGGCTCAGTGGTATACCCAACGTAGAGGAGACCAGAGACCGGAGAGCTTGCTAAAAAAAGGGCGGAATCTGGTCCATATTGAAAGGTTGTCAGCCTGGACCTTACCTGGAGTATTTCGGGAGTGCTACTCCCCGAGCCCCGTCTGGGGCCAGGCTCCACAGAAGAGATCATGCTGTTTGTTGTTGAAGATTCAGCTACTGGGGAACAAAACGTTCCAAGTAGCACGGGCTATGGTGAGCCCGTAGAGGACTTACCTGGCACAGGAGCGGGGCTGTAACCTAGATCATCACAGAAGTGATTATATATTTGCCTTGGGGTAGCTAAAATGTGTACATAACATTTATAAACGTGTAGAAAACTAGAAAGCTCTTAATACCGTTTCTGGAGAGCACAAAGTGTCCTTGTAGTTAAAGAAACGTGGCGTAGTGAAGAGCTTTCATGTGCAGGAAGTAGAGCACGAGAGGTGATGAATAACTGCTGTCATTGTAGTTGTTAGTGCGGGTTGTGTGTTGTTCTCCTGGTTGTGTGTGTGTGGCTTGGGGCATAAGGGAGTCCTGGACACAGGGATACTACGCAAGGCTGTGACCAGAGTGCACGAGAGGACTACAAGGGGATCAAGCCGTGTGCATAATACAGTTCTTCGCGCATAAAACGACAGGATTATATGCAGATTAGTTGAAAGTTTTGTTATAACGAAGTAAGGCTGCTAAAGATTATGGCCAGATTTAAAGAAATATAGAAATAATAAACTTAGGTGTGTGTGAAAACGTGGGTGAAGGATAGAAGTGGTTGTCATGTATAAATATCTTGACTTTAATGTAAGAGAAAATTTGTTCAGAAGTTGAGAGATAATCAAAGAAAATCAGCAGTTGCACTGAATGTCCAGGTTTGGAAAAATAACGTGGAGGGGGGGGGGTAGAAGCCAGAGGGCTAAATGAATAATTAGTTATGCCTATCCTTACGAATAAGGCGGAACCGCTGATGAAGTATGAACATGAGAACACGAACAGAGTTGTACAAGTTGACTATATAGGTTGACTAGGTCCGCGGTTGTTCAACATCCTCCCAGCGAGCATAAGAAATATTGCCGGAACAACCGTGGACATCTTCAAGAGGGAACTAGATTCTTTCCTCCAAGGAGTGCCGGACCAACCGGGCTGTGGTGGATATGTGGGCCTGCGGGCCGCTCCAAGCAACAGCCTGATGGACCAAACTCTCACAAATCAAGCCTGGCCTCGGGCCGGGCTTGGGGAGTAAAAGAACTCCCAGAACTCCATCAAGCAGGTATATGAGATGCATTTGTTATGTTTAGTACAGTACAAATTTAATTCCAAAAAGGGAGATAGTTTGGTCATGTTGAACGAGTGGATGATGATTGGATAAGGTAAGTAAGTATTCAGAGTGAACTTGGAGGTAGGGAGAGAAGGCCAAGATGGACACACTGGGAAGGGGTGGGGGGGGGGGGGGGTAAGGAAGCCAGGATTTAGTGTGAACGGAGCAGGAGAATTGGCTCGGCGTAATACTAAATCAAATCAATTTGCGTTTAATTTATTGTTTTAGTTGAGACAACTTGTGCGAAGCACTTAATCTGATTGTTGGAAGGTGTGAGCCGCTCTGGGAGTGTGTTGTAGTGTGACGGTGGTCGTTGTATGTGATGCTGTAGTAGGTATTGTGACGTTGTATTCCTCTATTATGTGCGGGCCGAAGCCTCACCATAGTTACACACTGAGCATTGATAAGCCAAATTAATTATTGTAAACAGTTGTGTATCTAGTGAGAGTAAAGCATCAACTACGAATGTGTCCATTGTTTACAAGACGAAAACATTAACTTCTGTAATTAATAAAATACAGAAGTAAAGTGTCGTTCAGCTTTAAACAAAAGTTGTAGTAAGGGAACGCAAACTTTTTATATAAAAAAAGGGTTGTACTGTAGTGAATACGTAATAGCCAAGCAATTCGAGAGAGCAAATTGAAAGGTCAGGACGCCATCAATTTGCAACGTTTTTTTCAAAATGAATGTGATACGATTGCAAGAGAAATGATGCTAGAAAGAAAAAAACACATACAGTATGTATATATATATATATATATATATATATATATATATATATATATATATATATATATATATATATATATATATATATATATATATATATATATATATATATATATATATATATATACATGTACATATAAAACTAATACACAAATGTGGCTGAAGCCTATCAGAAAATATTGGGGAAAGTTGAGTTATTTGCCGGCCGTCGTCCATGGCTCACAACGGGAGGAAGGGGGAGCCTGGCAGGTTGCATGAAATATATATTTTTGGTGAGGAAAAATCACTCGAGAATATTAAATCCTTTTCTCTTACCTTTTTTTTTTATATAACTTTTAATAGTTTATCAGATTGGATTTTTAGAACGTTTTAATCATCGGAAAAGCCGTGGTGTAAATGCTATATACATTAATTAACCGCGGACTTGTCATCAATGTTTTGAAACTAATTGGATAATTACGTAATTAGGGAGAGGATTCAGTGATTCTTAATAGCGATAATACTTTTCATATGAGTGAGTCGTCTTTGGGTTCTGATACTCATTGTATTTAACTCATCATATTTAACTCATCATCAAACGTTAAGTAGCCCTTATCCAGCCGCCAAACTTCGTTTATGAATGTTAAACACTTTCTACACGACTCCCAACTGATCACGTATTTCCTGTGCTCGAGCAGTGCTTCGTTCACGCCCTCTGCTCCTCTAAATTCACGCACAGCGGCTAGACCTCATAAACAAGGTCCATTCCATCTACCCGTCAATCCCCAGCTGTTTATGAATGAAAAGCGGTTTACACACGACTCACAACTGCTGACGTTCGAACATATCCGGAACAAGTGCTTCACTGACGAATTTTGTTCGAACCACAACGCTGTAAATGCTTCACCCACGTACTACAAATACAAATAATCGCCAACAGAACCTAAACACCTAATCTAACCAGGCCTACAAATGCACATTATGCTAATATATAATAATAATGTTATATTTGAGAAAAGTTCGGTTTTGAATTGAACATAATGTTAAAATTTATGAATGCTGCGTCTTTGGGGTCGAACACTGGGTGGAATGGACTTGGTCCGAGGACGGGCTGCACAGCGGCTACTTCGGGGGACAGGAGGGCAAGTCGAGGTCATGGTGGCGAGGTTTCCTTATCCTGTACTTCAAAAGTGTGGGGGGAAGATGTGGTGGGGGTCTTCAATGACTTCAAAAGGTGCGGATTCCAGGGTGTTGCTGCATATTCCAGTATTGGTCTAACATAGGTTGTGTAGATTGCCTTGAAACAGTTCAGATTTAGAATTCTAAATGACGTTCTATTGTTTGCCAGCTTCCCATATGCAATTTATTTAGGGGTAAACCAATTAGAGCAGCAGAAAAGTTATTTTTAACAAATTTGTGGTAAAATATAAAAAAATCAGTTTTGGCGGTTCTCGTTGGATCACCTGGTATATGAAAATAAAAATATAATCGTGTGCGTGTGCGTGTGCGTGTGTGTGTGCGTGTGTGTGTGTGTGTGTGTGTGTGTGTGTGTGTGTGTGTGTGTGCGTGTGCGTGTGCGTGTGTGTGTGCGTGTGTGTGTGGCGTTTGACAAGCTGTGACTGACAGTCTATTGTGGTTTCAACTGTGTCCCGGCCACCCGTCTGTCTGCATATTCGTGCCTCTGTCCATCCGTCTGTCTGTCTGTCTGTCGGATTACTGTTCCGGTTGTACAAAAATATGTTTGACAATTAAAATGGCAACATATAGTCAGCCTTGCATACGGTTACCATCCTGTGTAACCAGGTAATTCTCAACATATCTCGCTAGGCCAATATGACTGTCCTAATGTGTCACAGTATTGAGGCGGTGTTGTGATGACAGAGGAGGAATGTGCAGCCACAATTGTTGCTTCAGACGCGTCCGGTTTTGCAAGCAGTTGTGTCTTGGCCGCAACACTTGACAACCTTTTAACACCAGACAGGGTTGTGTTGTCTGTGAACGCCACGTGATGGTGTAGCTTCCATAAAGTGCTATCCTAAGAGTGGTTACTGGAGTCCCAACTTAATAAGCTAGCATGTAAAACGGTGAAGAAACAGAACAAACATGAACATGAAACAAACATGACAA